GTTGGCCTTCGGGCTCGTGCGACTCGCTGCTTTAAACGTGCTCGGCGCTCTGTTGCATCTGGCTGGCCTTCCGGAACGCTGCAGGTTGGTGGGTAGTTGGAGGCCCAGTCTGTACCTGATGCATCTGGTAGTCATCATGAATCATGTGCTGCCACGTATTGCGCCGTTGCAGTGGCCACTAAAACGCTGTCTCTGGTCACTGTTGCTTCTAGCCAGCTCAATTGTCTTCGGAACACCCGTCGAGCCACCGCAGTTAAAGTATCGCCTGGGATAAAACGTTCATAATAGTATACACTAAAGTTTCGAATTCCTTCCTGATGCCTGAATGTGGAGAACAGCCGATGGCAAAGCAAGTCGATCAGCAGGTAATGCCCCGCGGCTCGCTGGTCTTGAGGAACCACAGCTGCGGCCCGGACCGTGGATCCCACCGCGGGCTGAATCGCCAATGATTTCAAAAATCGTTCCTCCAGCGTGGCGAATTCATTCAGGTCCAGTTGCGGGATAGCCTCGGTGAGCGTAGAGAGCTCGGGAACGGTTGGCAGTCGGCAGCAGGGGCACTCCGACGTAGATGACTCTGGATCGGACTCTGAACCTGAACACGTAGAGAGGATGCTGGGGTGGGATTCTCGGAGATGAGTCGACAGCACGGATGGGGTTGCCGGACGTTCAACAGGATGGGACATGGTGTCGACTCAAGCAGGCAATTGGCGATCGAACCAGCCGTCTTTCTTTAAGTTTCCCAGGACGGTAGATGCTTCTGCTGGAGAAGGTCTCTGATGTTGGGACTGATGACAGATGTTGTGTTTATGTAGGGCCGAAACTGCTCAAGCATCTAAGGCTGATGAGTATTGAAGGCCCACGAAACTTGCCCGGCTTTTACCTCCGGCATCGATAGCCAGGCTGCTGTCCGTTGCCATCCATGCTGCCTGGACATCCAGATCGTTAGGGGCAATGCCTCGGATTCGGGAGATGACAGTCTTCACCACCACTACCAGGCTGGTCATATTCTGCCGCGTTATATAACTCCCTCATGTTGGACGGGCAAGATCCATAACGGAACCCCGGGGAAGTGGTGTTCGTTCCCACTCTAGACTATAGCTTCTTCAAAGACCCGGTGTAACAAAATCCAAAACGGGAGCTTCTGGCTATGCCCTAAAGGCGGGAGTCCCAGAATGTGAAATTGTAGCAGGGCATATTTGGTCTATAAGAACGACCTCCAGCATAACTGATTCGTGACGGCGACAGCCTCGCGCCACCACATTATGAAACATGCTCAGTCAGTTGCCGCTTGAGCTGGTTGATGCCATTGCCGACTTGGTATGTACTGTAGGAACGCTGTTGAGCTCTGAAATGCTGCTAACGATGCGCCAGCTGCCACAACTTAGCGTTCGCTCATTGAGTCTTGTTTCAACCACGCTATACGCCGCCCTGTTCCCTCGGCTCCATCGTGCGATCACCTTCCGTGCCAGCAATGAGTGGGCCTTGAACATCCTGGATGTCGGTCTCTTTTTGGGCGACAGTCCCGACTACCGCGCTGCGGAGATCCTGCACTATACCAGGCAGCTAACGGTGAAAGCTCCAATCCGCATCGCTCGGTTCCACCGCTGTGTGTACAATAGCAACTTCTTTCCACCGGCCACGTCGCCAAGAGGACTCACATTAGGCAGCCCGCACGAACCGACCGCTCACAGCGGGTTTCTAGAGAGCCTGTCGTCTCAGATACACCAAGTCTTTCCCCGATTAGAACCTGGAATCCTCCATTCATTTCAGTATGTATTGGGACATTGCGTGAAGGAACCGCAACTGACCCGCCTAGATGGCATATCGGGACCTGCATCCCCGCCAACATCTTGGATGCTCAAGGATATTTCGTGCACCACCAGAAACAGATCCGTCGTCTCTCTTTGATCACTGACGGCTCCTGTCCCCACGCGGGCCAACATCTAGAGGGCCTGCCATGTTTCACGGCGCTCAGCGAATTGGAGTGGGAAGGCATCCAACATCCGTCCGAGATTAGCGCCTTGCGAGGTTGCCTCCAACAGAACTCTCGACACTTAAAGGCGCTCTCTATCGGATTCCTGTCGGCGGAGAATCCACCGAGCCGTTGTGGCTATGCGGATATCGTGGATCTCTTTTCGCCATCCTTAGGTGATGGCCGTACTCGACCTGATCGGGACGGCTACCCCATACTCACTTCGTTGACCCTTTCACGCGTTTCGTTCCCCAGTGCGCTGCTTCCCGGTGTCCGACGATCGCCGTTCCGCGCTCTGCAGGCACTGACCCTGCGGGACTGCCCCAACGAACTGCACTTTTTGCAGCTCTTGGCACGATCCAGCAGGCCCGTCTCCCTCCGGTACTTCGAGATTAGCAGCGATTATCTCCGCGAGTCAGGGGAGCGGCTGGCGTTCATCGCCGTCGTCGAGTTTCTCCTTTCCTTCCGAGGCTTGCAATACCTGTACTTGAAGATCTCTAACTTTCCTCAGTTCCTTCCAGGTCTTGATGATGCCATTCATCATCACCAATCCACACTCCGTGGTCTGATCTTCCATGAACGTCGGTTGATGGCGGTCGACAGGGAACGGATTTTTGAAGAGCTTCGGGACGATGTGACCGTGACGTTGCCCAGTATTCCGCGCATTCTACGGCAGATCTGTTCTCCGATCGCCCTGGGCCTCTGCCTTCGCCCAGCTAGCGCAGTATGTTGCCATGGTTTTCGCGGGGACACGAGCTAACCAGCGTAGAGGAATCTTCTCGTCAGCCTACCAATACGTTCGTCCATTCGGATCCTTCACCTGCGATTCAGTGGAGAGGAAAGAATCCACCACGGCCTCCGGCGGGAGATCGTTTCGCTGCTGCAGAAAAGTATGGACCGATGGCCCTGGTCGCTTCCCCAGACATTCAAGAAGTCGAAGGCCGCTGGACTCGACTTCTGGCCAACGCGAAAGGCGTCGGAACTTCAGGAATTTGTCAGGCTGGTCCAGTGGGCTTTCGGGCCCGCCGGCCTCCCGGCATTGCAAATACTCGCCTTTGGCGACTTCTCCCATGGCGACCGCTACCGAGAACAACAAGTACTGCTTCGGAGGAAAAGGCCTGATAGATCGTCAGACGGGACAAGCCACAGGGAATGCTACACGGCTAATCGGGCATTTTGCCTGGCCGACATTGATAAAAATTCTTTTTGGGATGACCTTCCGTTGGATGGGTTGGATGGGCCCCGGTTTCTGTCTGCATGCCCCAGTACCGGATTGATGGAATCCCCGTAAGATCTCAAGTGTGGTGTCAAATATATGGAGACTCATCGTGTTGTGCACTGTCTTTCTGATGGGGCAGGAGATGTAGTTTAGTGGCCGCATTAAAATGCCAAAGAAGGGATTTGCTTGATGTGTTGCATACACCTTTCTTGACTATTCCCGTGGGCAGCTGGACCCGGTAAAGTCGTTTGGATCGATAATAGCCAATAAACAAGGACATCATTTCAATGATAATATCTCTGAGTGAAGCCCTCCCATTGTCCCGGACGTGCCTAGGGAAGGGAAGGCCCCAGCGCCGCCGCGGAGCCCAGCCATGGAGAGATGGATAGCTTCCATCCAGACGGGCGCTGTCAGTTTGAGTCAGTTTCCGTGAACCCATTTGTTTCGACAAAGGTAGCGAGCTCTCAAGCCATGCGATACGATCAGTATTCACCAGACCAAAGGAGCCTCGGAATGGTCAGTCGTGCCCACGGAGACGGCTTAACCAGAGCGTTTCGACTGGTCGAGGCTACGACTCGGCAGTATCAGTGGCTCTTCCTCTCAATAACATCCTAGTCGCTATGATCCGCTCCTACGGTGGCGGCCACGAGAGATGCCTGGTCGGTTTTTGCGGGGTGAAAAGATGTGGGAAAGATACGCTTGGTATTCCTAATCTTGGGAATCCGAGCGACGAATTATGTGGTGTGGCTCCACGTGACCTCGCCTCCCGGAGATGGATGCCTAAGGCCTCAATGCCGACAAAAGATCGACCCGGCGTAGGCCCGTCTGGTCACACTACATACGCTAACCTTTGTTGGGTTTGGCAAGCGCATATGCGTCTTGTTTTAGAGATAGGCGAAGACCCTGTCCGGACTTGGGATCACTCCAGCATAACGGAATTGCTCCAATCTCAAGTGACATGCACGCCTTGCTTACCTTTTTAACCAGCTGTCCGATCGCATTCCAGCAACGGTCAGACAGGGAATCGATCGTCGACGTGTCTTGACTATAGGCGCGAAATGGCTGTGGGTAATAATGCCGCGAGGGACATTGCTAGTGAGAGAATTCCCTATACTCCACTCGACTGCTCCGTAGCATGGGTGAGCTTTTGCTGGCCGTCCTCGTCCTGCTCTGCAACTGAGTACTTTTACACCAGACTACTGCAAGCCGCACACATTCTTCAGACTTGGGCTATTTTTGAAAAGAACTTCTATTAGATGATGGTGGACATCGTCAACAAGCTCACGACTCGTTGTCGGTCCGGCCCCGCCGTGTCTTAACTACCATGGGTTGTTCCTTTTCGACTATGGGAATATTTCATATTTGCCCTCCACCGTTCGGTACACATCAGTCCGTCCCGCTCGTCCTGGGACGCTTTGCACGTGTGACCTTCCTGGATGTAGGTTCAGCGGTTGGTGGCTCTGGACGGAGTTCGGCCAGCTTCTTTTGTATTTCGTTATTCCACGATATCTGCTTATCGAGGAGGTTTTCTAGCCTTCTGGGGTGGCAAATTAGCGTTTGCCATGCCTAGCAAGCAACAAGTTGCATGAGAAGAAGGCGAACAGACGGATCTTGCACACACGACAACAAGAANCAGCGAGAACAATGGGAGCACACGCTGGGAGAGAAGGCAGCCTGAAGGTGCCGTCCTTGGCATCCTGGTCCGCGAGGTTAGCACACCGGTGGAGACACACAACAGAACTGAGATGGAGGAAGAGATGCAATGGAACAAACATTTCTGCGGCTCACAGTCGAAATGTCCCAACTGTCCCAAAAACCACTCATCATGGAGCATCCCGTGTCAGTACAGGAAAGAAGACAGAGACATGCTTCTTTATCAGCTCTCAGCTGAAAGGACTGCGGTCATACACGCATGCGCCCCTGATCTGAGCACACTGCATCTCCAAATTGGAATTGCGCGGGTCTTCTCGCTCGTCCAGACCCTGGTCCTCGCGAGTAAACAACACCGCGCCATGGTCCGGAAGCTCATCGTTGTCTAGCAAATGGAGGACCTAGGTACCGCGCGTCGCAGCAAACCCTCGTGTCTCCCATACAACGGTGAGCCGAGCTAACTCGGTCTAGACAATCGTCGGTGGGTGAACATGCAGAATTTGCTGGACCTCGATCGCCAAGAATTCAAGGTACCACGGCCACCGACCAGCCCGCGATCCATAGGCTGACCGTGATAGATCCTCCCATTCGTCCTCTACTACCGTCGAACCCGCAAGAATGAGCCCTCGCGTGACCCCGGTACGAGAGTTCGATTCCTGAAAGGGTCTGTGGATGTGGAACAGACGATAAGGACATACCTGAGTACGCGTCGAGGGAGTTTGTTGGTCGGCGGTATGAACCCTCTTCGAGGTTTGGGAAGGCTGATGCGTCCGATGAAGCCATGTTAACGGATCACTGTCTCCAGTCTGTGCTCGACAGTCGATCCGCCACCAGGTCACGGCGATCGTTCAGCCCAACTTGGGCGATGACCTCCGGCTACTGGACCTTGACGTTGAGCCGTGTCATCAATGGTCAAACACGGACACAACGGTGGCTGACACTACGGAACCACCCAGAAGTTACGTTCAATGGATCGCCTCCAGAATAGCGGAAGGCCGTGGTCATTCCCAATGACGAGCAGCCATGCCAGTTCGATTACTTTACCAGATTTCCCTTACATTTCCTGATCCTACGGACGTTCTAATGCCAACATAATCGACGACGATTTCTCGCCCGACAACGGTCACTTTGGGTCCAAGGCATACCCCCAGCCCGGTCATTCCGCAATCAAACGGTCCATAGTATCACCGTCCACAGTACTCCGCTCCTTCATCTTCGTGCTTGCGCTGCCCGTCCAACGGCGAGAACAGACTCATATCGCGGGAGACGCTATTGGATCGCGGAAGTGTCGGCAATGGTAGGTCCGCGAACGCGTGCCACCGCAACGTTGGCATCGTAACCGGCCAGACGGTGCAACCGACGAGACCGGTGCACTAGCGCCTCGGCGGGACCGGGATTGGGCCAAGCCGACCCTGGAATCAGGGACCCGTGGCACGGCTGCGACGCGTCGGTGGTTGATAGGGCCCTCTTGGTCCGGGACGCTGGGTACGTCAGGCTGGCTGTCAGCGAGTCCTCTGAGCTCTGTTCCAGAAAGCGGGCATACCTCGCGGCCAGGGGAGCGTGCACTCCAAGCTTGCACAAGACCCATAACCAAATCCCGTCTCGCCAGTTCATATTGAGATTGCGGTGCGAGAGTGGATGCAACCAACGGTCCAGACTGTCGACTGGAGGTCATTTTATGAGGGACGATCAAGATAGTGGTTACCCATGTCTGAGTGCAAACGGCCATCCTCATTCGGGCAAACGCATCGCGCGGACGACAGCCCGGTGTCACACGTTGTGCTGGCGTGTGGCACGCAGCACCCGAGTACCAGAGCTCAGGGCATTTCCAAATATCTCCAGCGGATGTCGAAATCGTGTCGGATATTTATATTTCTCGCAGGGCCTGGAAAGCACAGGGTTACCAGAGGTGAACCCCGCCCCATCCGATCGCCAGCCTTACGGTTGGCCGTCTCTCGTGTAGCTGCGGTCGATTCAGAGCGTCAGTCACTGATCCAGGAAGCGATCACAGCCGGGGATGGGAGGAAAACAGCTAACCAGGGCAATATTGAAAGGTGTTTGAAGTTGAAGGAGCTCTGGTCAAACGCGGTCCACCGCCGTTACGCCACTTCCAGGCCGTCCGGCAGTCTGAGTCCCTTGGAACGGCATCCTTTGCTCACTGGCTTTGGTTCGCCCCGTTTGAGGACACGTCTCGAAATCTGCGGAGCGGGCGAAGGGAGACGGGGATCGGGGGAGATTGAAGGGAATATTCACATGATATACGACCTCATCCTGAGAGTTCCGGACGTTGAACGAAAAAGTGCGATGATGTGCGATGACATGCCTGGTCAGTGACGCGAAGGATTGCCCGTTGGAACATGTCCGGTTGAAGTGAATGTTTGTGGAGGACGTGACAGCCAGTCACATGAAAGGCCGTCTTACATAATGATCTTGCTTGGCAGGGTCACGAACCATATAACCGATGAGGTGAGACGACGGACAGCAACAACCATCGCAGAATGTATGCAACCGCCCGTCGGTTAGCTCCCTGCGCTGTTGACCCGTGCATATGGGGACTCCCCCGATAAGTCGTGGCGTGCAGAATTGTGGACTCCAAGCTTCAGATAGCTTGAGCGAATACGTCACTGATGGGAGATTGAGTCCGACCAGCCTTGTTCAGCCTATCGCCCGCGAAACTTTACATTCGGAGCACAGGGTGCGCATTCAGATGACGATTATTTCCGCCCCTCATCTTCCCCTGCGAAGAATTACTAAATACGCCCACCTGCATTGCCCGATTAACCGGCCAAGCGAATTCATCCGCGCACATATCATATCAGGCGCTGAATACCGACTTTATAGAGTATTGAAGATAACTAAATTAGAACCAATATGCAAGTCGATGAGATTTAAATTCGGTCTCTGGGCACTGAATTGAGGGGAAGGGTGTCGCACGCACCCTGCTAGTCAGCCGTGACGATAATAATGCTCGTTGAATATATATATCTTGCTTCCACTCACGACAGGAGGTACTTGGACACGTCACATCTCCTTGAAGGAATTGTCTCGCATTATTGCGTAGTAAAGCTAGAGGACGAGCAGAATCTGCTGGATGGGCATAGTAAGCTTCATTGTTCCTGCACCGGGGAATTATGGTCGAATCCAAAGCCGCAATTTTTGTTTTGACGCGTTCCCCGAACTTGAATCCTCTATTCAACTTAAACGGGTTAGTGGCACTATCTCGCGGTCCAGGAAAATCGAACATGGTGGAAGCCACGATCCATGGGTCCCCCTGCTTTGCCTGGGCTATTTCCATGTTTATCTACTCCATACATATAAGATAACTATCTCTTCTGCCGAATAACCAACAACAGGGCTGCATGGATTCTTTGCTGTCACGGGTCGGGGCAGAAGATGCTACGACGCCTGGTCAATGTGGGAAACAGAATGAGACCATTTGACCAAGGACAAGGGACGTTTGCAAGCAGCCATACGACGAGCGTGTCTACGGAGATCGGGCCACGCTGGTGGAATCAAGGGCAACTGCTCGGTGGTTTCTGCTTGTCAGGGCTGCAGCGGAAAACCCGGGCGAGAGGAGACCGTAGAAATGGATCAGCTCACACGTTATGTGAAGTGATTCCGATGACCGGGTGGTCTCGTTGAGAAGACCGCCATGAATTGGATGGACGATAGAAAATTATGAGGGTTGGGGATGTGGATAGAAAATAACTGTTTCTTCAATTTCGAATTTCGGGTGGATCTGCCCTGGTCAAAAGTCAAGCATGTTTCTGCTCCAGACCGTCAACACCGGTTCTACTTCAGTGCGATGCTGCATGGAAGATACCCGGGCAAGAGCGCAGATGACTAGACCAGTCCCACTTGATCACTGCGATTACCGGTTATCTTTTTAATCTTTAAACAATTCGACCAATATCATCATGACTTGAACGTTTACGATAAGTCTCAAAGCTAGGGAATTCTGAGTCCTGGTCGAAGATGGACCTTGGATGTCGAGACTGGAAAGAAATACCCGGGCGTCTATCTTCATGATCCCATGTGGGTCCTGGTCAGACAATTCTCTGCTTCAGACTACCTACAGTGTAGTCTGTTTCTACTCTAGAACAACCTCTCTCGCCTTTTTTTTACCAGCAGCATGCGTCGCTGGGAAGGAAAGCCCAACCAAATGCAATGTGCAGTAAGTCAAAGGAAGGAAAGGAGAATATCGGTGTCTTTGAAAATACAGCAGTTGGATTAGCGAGGACAGCAAAATTTAGTCATTGTATTCCGTTAAGAGTGTTCATCGTGTTGAGATATGCAAAGGAACCTTCGAGCAGCCAAGTAACAAGACAGAAGTCTACCACAGATCACGATCGTCAGAAACAACGCGAGGATGTACACCGCTAAAATCAGTGAAAAGCTTCTCAGCGGAAATCTGTATGCCTTCCTCTGCTTCTAGACCAGCAGCCACGTATTGCGCCGTTGCAGTGGCCACTAAAACGCTGTCTCTGGTCACTGTTGCTTCTAGCCAGCTCAATTGTCTTCGGAACACCCGTCGAGCNTCCTGCAGTCCGCGGAATCATTTCAAGAAGGCATCTTAGACAGGCGGATCTGGCCAGTCTTTCATCGAGTGGAACCGTACAAATCTGGTATCGTTCGTAGCAGGGATTTGCAGGACCTGCTTTTGTCTTGTGGGCAAAAAAGAGTTCATGGAACCCTTCAACATTATCAACGACTCGGTCGAACAGCTCCTCCATAATGAGAAAGTTGACTCGATCGTGTGTTTATTCCGCACCTTTCTGCTCAGCGGAACTGGGCTGAAAAGGAGTATCAAGGTTAGGGTGTTGAACAGTAGGGCGAGGAGGGGTTGAGCGTTATCTCAAGATCAAACCCGCAGCAGCTGTCCATATCTGTTCGTTTGACGCATCGGAGCTCAGCGCAAATTTCGCAAGAGGTGGCGTTGGAGTAGTTTTCATACCCTCCTGCGCTCGCGCTGAAGGTGAAGGAGGCGAGGCCGCTAATAAGGGGATCGTCGTTGGTGATGCCAGCGGATTGTTTCGGGGCTGTTGATACTAGCGTAGAAAGGACCCGAAGGAGTATATTGTTACATTCTAAGCCCCAGATTAGTTTGAGCAGAGAGAGCCGTCTTAAAGACCTACTTTTGGCATCTAGAGCTCTCTTGATGACCTCTTCTGCACGGAATCCTGCTTGAAGTTCATTCAAGGGAAGCTCTGGGTAAGCGAAATTTAATGGGCTAGGATCGCTGGTAAGCATCTGACATTGGAGGCATAGATAGACGACCAAAACTCACGCGAGACTGTGTTCTTGGCCAACAAGGCAGCAGCTCATAATATGGCGCAGGTAGGTGTTCAACTTGATGTGTGCAGTTGGTATTAAGCCACGTGATTAAACCGGCGCCAGGTTTGACTGGTTTTTTTGGTTACGTCAGCATTCACTGGCCCAGCCCCGAAGGGAAAACAACCACCCGCCGTCGATACCTAATTTTTGAAATTACTCCAATACCACGCTTACTTGTCAGCTCTCAAGGTATCGCCAAGTACCGCGAAAGTATGAGGCGGAGCGACATTGCACCGCAGCTGGCCTCCAGCCGCCCACCATACGCGACCACGCAATCTAAATCGAAGCGGACGTACGCGCCCTGAAGGAGTAGCGAGTCAACCCGCTGGTCAAGAACCGAGCATCAAACTGGAATATGGTCGAACCGCTCCTCGAGAGTATCAACAACGACCTTCGAAAGACCCAGGACCTCCCAACCACCAACCAGCTGGCAGCCAAAACCCACGCGACAGCTCGTGCCCAGGAGGTGCTAAGCAGAGATATCACGGAAATCAAGAACATCTTCGCAACCCCAGTTGGTCAAGCAGCAGCTCCCGCCTATGCGCAAATTTCAAAAGATCCATACATACTGAAACCCACCACACGGACACGCCCATCGATGGGACCCCGATAGATCCTCGTGAAGCTGAACGAAGCTGACCCGGAGGCAACAAGCCGCCGAGCAACCGTCGAAGACACAAAAAGAAAGGTCAACAACAGTCTACAAAGCCACCAGGGTCCGAAACTACAGAAACCCCAAATCATCGCGTGAAATGACACCCTAGTGGTGACCGAACCCTCTTTACCTCAGACCAACAGACACGGAACAACTCATCGCACAGCGAGAACAATGGGAGCACACGCTGGGAGAGAAGGCAGCCTGAAGGTGCCGTCCTTGGCATCCTGGTCCGCGAGGTTAGCACACTGGTGGAGACACACAACAGAACTGAGATGGAGGAAGAGATGCAATGGAACAAACATTTCCTGGAGAAAGCGAGGGTGGTTTACCCCGGCCGGCTCACAGTCGAAATGTCCCAACTATTCCAAAAACCACTCATCATGGAGCATCCCGTGTCAGTACAGGAAAGAAGAAGACAGAGACATGCTTCTTTATCAGCTCTCAGCTGAAAGGACTGCGGTCATACACGCATGCGCCCCTGATCTGAGCACACTGCATCTCCAAATTGGAATTGCGCGGGTCTTCTCGCTCGTCCAGACCCTGGTCCTCGCGAGTAAACAACACCGCGCCATGGTCCGGAAGCTCATCGTTGTCTAGCAAATGGAGGACCTAGGTACCGCGCGTCGCAGCAAACCCTCGTGTCTCCCATACAACGGTGAGCCGAGCTAACTCGGTCTAGACAATCGTCGGTGGGTGAACATGCAGAATTTGCTGGACCTCGATCGCCAAGAATTCAAGGTACCACGGCCACCGACCAGCCCGCGATCCATAGGCTGACCGTGATAGATCCTCCCATTCGTCCTCTACTACCGTCGAACCCGCAAGAATGAGCCCTCGCGTGACCCCGGTACGAGAGTTCGATTCCTGAAAGGGTCTGTGGATGTGGAACAGACGATAAGGACATACCTGAGTACGCGTCGAGGGAGTTTGTTGGTCGGCGGTATGAACCCTCTTCGAGGTTTGGGAAGGCTGATGCGTCCGATGAAGCCATGTTAACGGATCACTGTCTCCAGTCTGTGCTCGACAGTCGATCCGCCACCAGGTCACGGCGATCGTTCAGCCCAACTTGGGCGATGACCTCCGGCTACTGGACCTTGACGTTGAGCCGTGTCATCAATGGTCAAACACGGACACAACGGTGGCTGACACTACGGAACCACCCAGAAGTTACGTTCAATGGATCGCCTCCAGAATAGCGGAAGGCCGTGGTCATTCCCAATGACGAGCAGCCATGCCAGTTCGATTACTTTACCAGATTTCCCTTACATTTCCTGATCCTACGGACGTTCTAATGCCAACATAATCGACGACGATTTCTCGCCCGACAACGGTCACTTTGGGTCCAAGGCATACCCCCAGCCCGGTCATTCCGCAATCAAACGGTCCATAGTATCACCGTCCACAGTACTCCGCTCCTTCATCTTCGTGCTTGCGCTGCCCGTCCAACGGCGAGAACAGACTCATATCGCGGGAGACGCTATTGGATCGCGGAAGTGTCGGCAATGGTAGGTCCGCGAACGCGTGCCACCGCAACGTTGGCATCGTAACCGGCCAGACG